TATATATATATATATGTATATATATATATATATACATACATACATATGTGTGTGTACATTTATGTATTCGTAGAGGACAGTACAGTGTTAAAGTTATGCTTGACATGTCTTACAGCTGTAGGACCATGTTTAGGTGTGCTGTGGGTGTGAGAGAGTTTAAGGTGAAAGTGGGGCTGCATCAGGGATTGGCTCTGATCCACAGAGACAGAAACCTCCATGGACAATGATATTTGCAGAAGACATTGTGATCGGTAGGTAAAATCTAGAGAGAGGGAGGATTTCCTTGGAAAGAAGATGATCATGGTTTTGAAAAGACAGATTACATGTGTGTAATTTAGAGGGACCAAAGTAAAACAATGCAGTTACAGGGAGCAGATAAATTCTATATGAAAAATATCACAAGTGCAGCTTTATTTGACGTTGGTTTTTTCCAAGCCAGGACTGCTAATCCACTGTTTATTTATTAATACAAAATATATGCAGGAGATCTGGGAAATTAATAGGGAGGAAGAGAAGATATTCATCAATGAGGTGATCAGAGAAACAAGAGAAGCACGGGAGACAGAAACAAGAGAAAAGAGAAAGAAGAAACATAAGGTATTAAAAGCATAACAGAAACTAAACATGCATGGACCATTAACTAGAACAATACTGGCAAAGAACAGTCCAAGTTATTGGATTAGAAACAAAGAAAAGATGTGTTTGATAAAGTCAAACTTTGTAGGAGAGAAAGAGCAAGAAGAAAGTGCAGAGAACACAGAATGAATTAACAGACTAGACAAACTAAACAAGAGGCCACAAACTAGAGGTTCTGAAACTAACAAGCAGGAAACTTTAAAAGAGACATTGCATGAGAACCGATCAACCTAAGCTGCAGCATTTTCTTACCAAATTGTATTGTTAGTGTGTATATTCCTCAGCAACAAGGCAAATCTTACCACCAGAAAATCAGATTTTTCACTTCTTAAATTAAAATCTTTTTTAACTAAAATTTAAAAAAGAACATTACCATGTTTTTAACATTGTAATATGAATTACAGAGATTTTTAAAACAGTGTATTTGTAGGTCTAACCAATTTAACCATTGGAGTATGTTGTAAGTACACTCACAAACATATTGCACACAGGTTTTAAATCTTATTTCATTTTATTACATAACAAATTAACTTTTTTTATATTAATGTAGAAGTATTAAGATATTCATACTCAAAAGCAATACTATTGAGTGTATTTTTTAAACACATTAAAGGAATGTCCCCCTTGAACTTTTCAACATTTTGTCACATTGCAGGCTTCAAACATAAAGATATATAATGTTAATTCTTTGTGAAGAATAAACAAGTTGGACACAGTCAAAAGTGTTTAACAAAATTTTGGGATATTTTAAACCTTTTTAGATAATCAAAAACGGAAAACGTGTGTGTGCAAAATTATTTAGCCCCCTTGATTTACTACTTTGTATTGCCACCTTTTGCTGTGATTACAGCTGAAAGTAGGTAGGGGTATGTCTCTACCAGTTTTGCACATCAAGAGATTGACATATTTGCCCACAAAAGAGCTGGAATCCCATAATTTCTTTCTGGTCAACTTCTCACCTTTCTCACCAACACTCCAGTTGGGCCGCTGACTACAGTTCACTTGCTAGCCTGGCTAAGGCAGCAATGACATATTTACTGTAATAATAATATTTTAAAATAACTAATTACAACATTAATTCATTAGATGTTACTGTAACTTTATTGCAGCTTTGCTCTAATTATATTAGTTTAATTATATTGCATATAAATCTGATTATGTTAGTTTTATCAGATTTAGTTTTTCTATGTAATAAAATACAGTGGGCCTCCTAAAAAAATACAATAAGAATTTAATATTGGTTATTCT